AATATAAATACTCTTAAACATCTTGTGATCTTGTCCCACCTTCTAATAATGTAATGTGAAAATGGAGGCACTCACGTAAAAAATAAATGTGAATTAGGTCAAATTTGTCATATAACAAAAAAGGATAGTTAATATTCAGTCTTTATAATTTCAACTGATTTTTAATCAGGTTCTTATAAATTTTTTTTCTTTTTATTAAGTCCTTGTAATTTCACATGTTTTGAATTAGGTCTTTATAATTTTTTTTCTTATCAGGTCCTTGTTTTATCATATTTTTAATTAGGTCCTTGTAGTTTTTATTCTTTATTCTATAAATAATAATATTTTATAAATAATAAATTATTATAATAATCTTATGTTAGTATTCTTTTAAATTTTTAGTTAAACATATGTATTATTTTTCAATTCTAATTTTTATAATTATAAAATTCAAATTATAATAATAAAATTATTTAAAATTAGAATATAATTATAAATAATTACATTTTATTATAATTGATTACTATAATTAATTATTAATTATTAAATGATTATATTAACTATTTTGTATAAAATATTTATATTCAATTAGAATTGATTATTCTAATTAATTTTAATTAAAAAAATCATTCTATTAATTATTTTGCCCAATTATATAATTATTAATTTAAAATGAAATTAATTTTCAAGATAAATTTTATAAATAAATTTTTTTAAATTAGAAAGGACCTAATTAAAAAATAAGGTAAACTATAAGGACTTGGTAAAAAAAAAATGAAAGGGCCTAATTAAAAACACCTGAAAGTAAAAAGACATGATAAAAATTTTTTTATAAAGACCTAATTAAAAATCAAATGAAATTATAAGGACCTAGAGATTAATTATCTCTAAAAAAATCTAAATTTGTCAAAATATCTTTTAGAGATAATTAATCCGCAAGTCCTTATAGTTTCAACAAATTTTAAATTAAGTCCTTATAGTTTTTTTTTCTTTTTATCAGGTCCTTATACTTTTACCTGTTTTTAATTAGGTCCTTGTATTTATTTTTCTTTTTATCAAGTCCTTATAAGTTCACTTATTTTAATTAAGTCCTTGAATTTTTATTCTTTATTTTATAAATTCTAATAATACTATTATATAAACATAAAATAGTATATATTATTTAATATTAGTTTATAAACAATAATATTCTAAAGATATTGAATTATTATAATGATTTTAATTTTTTCTGCAAAAAAATTAATTGTTCTAAAAATTTTCCTGAATTAATTAATTCCATTACTTTTTTATTACATAAGTATTAATTTAATTTAATTATTAATATTTTATATTTCATTATTAATCTATTTAATTAAGCTTATATTTAATTAATAAATAAAAATTAAAACTACATGGACTTGATTAAAAATCTAATGAAATTATAAGGACTTAATTAAAAAAAAATAAATACAAAGACCTAATTAAAAAAAGGTAAAAGTATAAGGATCTAATAAAAGAAAAAAAACTATAGAGACCTGATTCAAATTTATTGAAACTATAAGGACTTGTAGATTAATTAACCCTATCTTTTATACGACCTGCTTCCCTTTTTATAATTAATCTTAGACTCACGTAAATAAAAAAATAGTTAAAATAATTAAATGTGTAGAAATTGAAAATTTTTTTCCGAAAATCTCCTTATTTATGAAAGAGAGAATGTATAAAAAGTGAACAAAAAATTATTATAATAAATAGAGTTATGAAAGAGAGAGAATGTGTGATGAAAAAAGATAATTGTTTGGAAAATGAGATAATAAATATATTTAGTATTAGAATAAGTAATTAATATGGGTAAAATAAGAATTTGCTATAAAAATTAAAACAACTTGTAAATATTTGCTTATATCTAGGAAAGAGAAAAGAATGATAGTTGTTAATTACAAAAAAGATAATTAATCTCTAAGTTTTTATAGTTTCATTTGATTTTTAATTAGGTTCCTATAAATTTTTTTTTATCAGGTCCCCATAAGTTATTAACTTTATCCTAAAAGCATTAATTTTGTTCATATTTAATTTAAAACTTTTACTCAATTAAAAATTAAGTAAACCAACTTTGATTGATAAAACAATAGAAAACACCTTGGAGAAAAAATATAGTTATTATAGTTAAAGTAATAAACTTGTAGCTACCATCATTTTATTACTTTTTCTTATTCTTATTATAAGTTTTAAATAAATAATCTGTGTAAACAAAAATTAATAAAAATAAATAAGTAAAAAATATATTTCTTTTTTTAATTATATCCATCCTTAAAGTAACCGAGGAAAAAATGAAAAATAATAATATAGAGAAATGGAATGAGAGAGAATGTGACAAAAATAGAACAAATAATTAAGAATAAAATTATAAAAAATTCAAATATTAAAACAACTCAAATTAAAACTGATAAAATGAATCACATTCTCTTCTAACTTTGGAACTTATAAATATGATGGGAGGCAGCATAAATACTCTTAAACATGTTGTGATCTTGTCCCAGAACAAATAATTAAGAAGAAAATTTTTAAAAAGTTCATTAAATATTAAAACAACTAAAAGTAAAATTTATAAAATAGATCACATTTTTCTCTAACTTTGGAACTTATAAATATGATGGGAGGTAGTATAAATACTCTTAAACATCTTGTCCCACTTTCTAATAATGTAATACTCTTCCGACCCTAAATATAAGACCCTTATACACACTAGTATAAGGGTCTTACATTTAGAACTGAAGGAGTATTAGAATGCAAAGAGGCATTCACGTTAAAAAAATAAATAAATGTGATAAAAATTAGAAAAAAATATTATCCATAGAAACAAATCTAAATTTGTTATATAAAAAAAAACAATATAAATTTGTCAAATATCTTTATAAATTAAAATCGAATAAGGGATATGCCCCTTATGTCATAAATACGTAAAGGATAATAATATTTCATAGTAAATACACTTTTCATTCCAACACAGTAACACCTAAGTCAACGGTCACAACACTGAGCACTGAACCGAAGTATCCAACTCTCGTCCTTCCCTTCACTTGCACAGATCCTCATGTTGTAAATGTGGCAGTGTTTTGCATCAGCAACGCCTATCTCCCCCACTTCATTTACCATTATACCCTTGGATCCTACCCTTCCTCCCTTCTTTCTGCCCAGTAAATTCCTCCTTCCTATCTGTCCTTCCTCGTCATTTCGGAACCGAGCTCTCACCCTCTCTCTTCCCACCCCTCCCTCCTCTCTCTCCAGTTTCGCCCATCTCTTCCCAAACCCCACACAATCAGCACTCACAACACCGTCAATCGAAGCGCAAAACCACCGCGAGAAATGGACAATAGTGGCAGCAGAGCCGAAGCCGAACGGTGGCTCTACACCGCCAATAAGCTCCTCAGTGCACGTGATCTGCACGGGGCTAGGTCTTTCGCGGTTCGAGCCCGTGAGTCCGATCCCACATTTGACGCTTCTGAGTTGCTGCTCGCTGTCATCGATACCCTCCTTGCCGGTGAGACTCAGATCAATGGCCTCCATGATTGGTATAGCATCCTTCAGATTCTGCCTTATACTCACAATATCGAGTACATCGCCTCCCAGTACCGTCGTCTCGCTCTCCTCCTTGACCCTCATCGTAACCCTTTTGCGTTTTCTAGCCATGCGTTCACGCTCGTTCATGACGCGTGGTCTGTACTCTCCAATCCAGCTAAGAAGGCTATGTACGATAACGATTGCTGTCTCACCGCCCCTCCTCCTGCGGCCCCTCCCCCGCACTGTTCCGGTGGCAACGGTTCATGCACCGGACCCGGTTCCGACTCCGAACCCAACTCCGATGCCTAATCCACCCTTTGTTCAGCGGCAACAGCAGCAGCAGCGAACTCCGGCGAAGAGGGGCCCGAAGCCCAAAGAGAGGGCTGGTGCCGGAGAACAAAGGCCGAGTCCTAACATTGCGACGACGGGGACGACCTCGCAAGCTCGGACGAGCGACCCGGTTGAGTCTGAAACCGGTTCGAGTTTCTGGACGGCGTGCCCGTACTGTTACGTTATGTATGAGTACCCGACGTTGTACGAGGACTGTACTCTAAGGTGCCAGAGCTGTAGAAGGGGATTTCATGCGGTGAAGGTGCGGACGCCGCCGGTGGCGGGGAAAGATTCGTATTATTGCTGTTGGGGGTTTTTCCCGTTAGGGTTTTCAGGGGATTTCAAAGACATAAGTGGGACTAATTCCAAGTGGAACCCATTTTCTGCAATGTTTGCATGCCCTTTGAGAGGAGGAGGAGGAGGAAGGGGATCTCAGAAAGGACCTTGGGTTTATCATGATGATGAAGCTGCTGCTGCATTCATTGAATTTTCTGAGCCAAGTGATGATGATTCGGATGATGCTGACTGGGGAGAGAGGGGGAGAGGGGGCGAGTAAGAACAAAAGCAAGAAGCTCTGGTAATGCTAGTGGTGGTGATGCAAGAAGGGCATTTTCTGAAAGAACTAGGAGAGGGAGCCAGAGTGGGTCCGGACATGCCAATTGAAAATGGTGTGGTTGGAGACGGTGGGTCTGGTGCGCCAAATACTGTGAGGGCGGAGTTGAGTAAAAAAGCTGCAAATAGCTCGAGAAGAAGGGGTGCAGGGAATCTGGGGAAATTGGATTTGAATGTGGAGTTTAGTAATGAGGTGGAAGAGCCGGCCCCGGCAGTAAGAGATGGTAATGTGGCTGGAAATGCTGAGGAGAATATAGAAGGGAATGCATTTTTTGAGGGTCTTGATGAATTCCTTAACAGCTTGCCCATTCTCAATGTTGTGGCAGATGACAAGGTTAAGGGCCACTAGTATTTAAAGCCGCCTGTATTTTTGTTCACTGTTGTAGATTTTGCTATTTGTAGTTGTATGCATGCTTGTAAGTGCTGTAGTAAGAAGTACTGCAAATCATCTTCCAGTTAATCTTATAATAATTTGCGGCAATTTGTGCATACTTCTTGAAATATTTTTGGGTTGCCTTTTCTGAGGTAGGTTGCACCTTTCAGAAAGGAAAAAAAAAAAAAAATATATATATATATATATATATATCAGTGATTGAAGTTTAATAGTCACACACTCCCTAATAAACTATGGGGGCTTCATGTGAAGATAAAAATCTAACTTTATTATCCTTTACATTACAAGTTAATTTATATGTTTATATTAGCTGGTTGATAGCCTTATTGGTGCTTTGAAATACTAGATTGCCATTCTCCTCGAGAACCATCATTATCTGCTTCAATAGCCGATGACAACTTAAGTATTCTATGTTTCGAATGTATCTACATGCAAACATCAATTTGTAATAACACATTCTCTTAGCTCCGGTATGTAACCATCACAGTCTTGATACATCTATGTATTGTCTTATATTATTTTTTTGGTGATTATTTAGGTATTATTTATTGGTATATTGATGGTGCTAACTAATCTAGTTTATAAATTATTTTTCTAATGCATACATGTGTTTCTCTGCCCCCCTCTCTGCGTCTCTGTGGTTGTAGAAGTATTCTTGCTGCAGGTTTTGCTTTTGTTTTCTTGAGAGATGCAAATGACCTGTATCTTGCTTATATCTGTCTGATGAGTTATGGATGCCCTGAAACTGAAAAGATTGGAAGAAGCAATTTCTTGGTTTACTACTAAATATAATGCTTTTCCATTGTATTATATGCTCTTACCTTTGCCTCATTATCTACCTCCAGGCCTGTTAGGACTATTCCAAGGTTAAGTACTCGGTTAGTTACGCAATGCTCATGGCTAAAGGGAGAATCATATTTTCTTATGTCTTGACTGGTCTACTTGCTTTAGCTGACCCAAAAAGCTACTTACTAGATCCATCATGAGTTCATTATGTGTGTTGTTTCTTTGGTCATTTTGTGAAGCATTTTTCAGTTTACGTGTGAATTGATGACCGAGATGCTGTGCACTGATTTCTCTGTGCTCTTTTTTGCTTCCAGAGATTGTCTGATTTGTTGATAAATGTTATTGACTTTATAGCTCCATTCACGTTGTAGGGTTTTATGTTCTGATTGAGGCCTAGCTACACGCTTTCAAGATTGGATTATTTGTTGGTCTCTAGAAAATGTTGATGTGTTAATGGTGGTTCTGCATTCTGAATTATTACCTATGCATTTATGATATATAGTCATGTAGTGAGTTCTGAAGTATTAGATCTAAGTAATGGGATTATTTATAAAAACAGAAGAGAGCCCATGACTCTAGAAAGTACTGTATATATCTTTTATTTTCATCACATGAAAATTCGCTTTCTTCTGTCAATATGTTGAATGGAGACTTGGGTACATGAATCGGAAGGAGGTCCCAATGCTGATTGTGTCCCCTTTATTTGATCAAAAGGAAAAATTAGCAGAAAATGAATCAGTTTGGGAGTTGATTGTTTGAAAGATATTTTCTCCAACAATCACTTGATGTGAAAATTATTGCTTCCTGTTTCAGAATCTCATTGTCTAGGGAAGTTGATTCTTTGTTTCTATCTGTTCATTGCTGCTTCTTTTATGTTGGAAGCACAGTGATCATAATCAGGGTCCAAACCCTCTCAACGTGAGAGAGTTTGCTCTCTCTCTCTCCAAATATTTTTCAGTTTCGTTTAGTCTGTAACTATTAATGTTATTTTTGTCTAATTGTTTTGATTAGGGGGATTTTCTTGTACTCAGTTTTTCACTGTCACACAGTTGTCAGTTTCAGAATGCACATCTCGGGCCGCATGAATAATGGTTCTGAGTAATCCTATAAAAACGTGATGCAAGCTTAAAATTTGAATGTGCCTCTTAGGATTGGTGAACCTTTAAAAAAAAAAAAACAAGAAGAAGCATAAATTGGTGAAACTGAAAAAAAAAGGTATAAAAAAGGGCTTTTTAAAAGCTTTTTTTTTTTCCTGTAAATTGAGACAAATTCCTTCACATATTTATTTCGCATACCGTAAAATTATTTTTAAAATTATGGTTTGGTTTTTATTTAAATATCTTTTGGGTATTACTTAGACCTTGTACAAGCCAAAAAAAAAAAAAAAGAAAGCAAGAGAAAGCTTGGTCTTTTTTTTTTTTTTTAAACCAAGCACAGATATCTCTTATTAAAGCCAATGACATCCGAGATATTATTAAGTATTGGATATGAGTACTTCTTACAATAAAAAATTTTAGTTGGTCACATTGTGTGGAATAAGTTTTTTTTATTAAACTTAATCCCTTTTAGTAGCTTAGTCCAATTTTAATCTACATAAATAGTATATCATGTTCTTGCGCTTCAACTGCACATTACAATATTAGTAAATTAGTAAATAAGATTGTCTTTAATCAAAGGATACTTTAATAATAGTAACATTTAACCAAAAGCTAAAATTATTACTTTTGTTTTATTTTTATATGAATCACTTAATAAAGGTGATGACCCAATAATTCAATGTTATCCCATTGAACTCTTTTTGTTTTTTTCTTCTTCTTTTTTTTCATTTGGAAGGCTTATATTTTATTATAAAAAAAGGGTGGGGCCTACATTTTGTGACAAAAAGTCAAGGTCACTTTGTGTGCGTGTTGTTTTCAAAATGTCAAATGGGAACTTGTGATCCTCTTATAGTGCCGTGCTGATCTGTATATTCCAAAGACAGGTTCATCTTTTTATACGAAATACTTACTTTTTTGTAACAGTAACTTTTGGACACCTTAAATTTTAAGTTTTTTTATTTGTTATTTTTTAATGACAAAAAATTATTTTTTAAATGGAAAGATAGCATCAATTTTTTTGGCCTCAACTTTAGCCTAAAAAAATTTAATCCTTCGTTGTAAAATTTATTGTTAAAATGTAATTAAAAAAATATACTTTTTTAACATGGTTAGAAATAGGTTATACATATGCATTGGGGGGGGTGGGGGAAGAGCTATCAGAAAATATGTTGCATCTGAATCCAAAACAAATTTAAGGTACTTTAAAATACTGCTGATCAACTTCGAATCAAAAATTAAAACTGATCAACTAGTGTAACAGTGGAAACTGAAACATACTGGTAGATTGGTGGAAAACTGAATTGTTTGTCGCGTACCTCAGGAGGGTGGGACGAGAGAGACAATCCGAATTTGAGAATGACTACCCTAAAAAGGAAAAAGCTTCACCTTCACGGTATTCTGGTGAACTTGTGGTGAATGAAGTAGCTACGGTGCAAAAGTGTCTTTCTTTCTCACTTTTTCTCTTCTTTTCCCTCTTAATTTAGATTTCTCCGTTTTTGTTGGAGACGACTCGACTCGGAGATGCGTCCTGATCCAAACTTTACTTTATCCACCCTTTAAAATAATTCCCCTGCCATGACTATTTCACTCAATTCTCAATTCGTACTGAAGGAGAAGCGAACCCATTTTTGTTTGGGCTCTCTGATATGACCGCTTCTGCTGCTCCAATTTCGGTTTCAGGTGACCCCTTCGTTTCCATCTCCAAGCCCCTTGCTTTACCCTTACCCTTCAATTCTTCCTGCATTGTGCTTCATGGAGCTACATTGAGGGCTTCAAGGGTATTTCTGTTGTGTTATATGATTTACCTCCTGGATGCTCTTTTGTTCTGAATGAGCTCATTGTACGACTATTGCTGTGGCAGATCTTTAGGTTTAAGCTGGAAATAAGGAAAACCGAGCTCACCCATTTGAGATTGTTGAAGGGTTTGAGGTTAGTGGTTAACTTCCCCTCGGTATCTGCTTAAAGTGAAATTATTACTATTAGATTGCTTACTGTTGACTTCCTTTTATCTACTTTAACAGGAATGTCTAGAATGGTTGTTCTTAACTAATCCCCTGGTTCTTTGGTGGTGACGATCTTTATACCTGTCTGATTATAAGAATAGCTCTGAGTTAAAATCATTCGGGAGGGAAATTATTAGTAGATGGATCGGTTGTTGTTTACCATTTTTTCATCTTAAATTGTAAAAACTTTGAAGCTCCCCTCAACAATGGGTAAATTACATAGATTGAAAAGGAATATAAGACTTTTGATCTTGGCGTGTCTTATATGTGGATACGCTTAACTTGAGCGATCTATGCCTGTATGATAACACCAAAACCCTTAATCACTATTCTATATTGAATACTGATGTGTGTAATGTGATCCCATGGTGTTTCATTGTTCGATTTTAATTCTTTGTGGTTTAATTGAACCTATAATTCTACTCTGGATTTTGTATCAACACTTTGAAGTCAAAGTTAGAATAACAAAGCGATTTGTTCTTATTGTGATGAAATCCAGTAAAACCGTTTTTTGCATTGTTCTTATGTTTGTAGGAGCAACAAAACTTCAGATTTGAAGGCCTCCATGGGTCCTCCTGGATTTAACCAGCAACAGGAAAACAAGAATCCAGAAACTATGACAGAAGCAGAAAAGGGGCTTGATCTATTTAATGATCTGAAGGACAGGTTCTTAAGTTTTAAAAAGAATAAATACATGTAAGTTTCAGTATTGCCTTGTTCACAAGCGTTTTGCTTCTAATAGTGATAAATGGAATAAAATTCTTCAAGATTGGTTTCTGCTTTCTGGCAGGGGAAACTTAGAACATTTCCAAAATCTTGCCCAGGCTCAATTTCCAAAGGTAATTACTCTTTGTGTCTTTCCCCACCCTTTTGACTAAGCATTCAACTGTGTTTTGCTTTATCTTTTTGGGCAAGTGCTTTAATTTGTCTTGTGGTGAAATTAATTTTTCTTGACTAACATTTGCAAGAACAGTTCATGGTCATTGCTTGTGCAGACTCTAGGGTTTGCCCATCATATATTCTGGGATTTCAACCAGGTGAAGCTTTCATGATTCGGAATGTTGCTAATTTGGTAACTTCATTCGAGGTATACGCCTACGTCATCGAAACTATTATTGTTGTTGCACTGGGAGGTAGACCCTGCCTTCCCTCAAAGTCTTACCCATATTCCTTGATGCAGAATGGACCATCGGAGACAAATGCTGCTCTAGAATTTGCTGTGACCACACTGAAAGTAAGACATTATTACCAATAAATTCGGGAGCTTTAATGGTGTTATTCATTTATCTCTGTACATTTTGTTTCTTTGGTCTGTTAATTATTTACTTTTCCATTTCTTAAACCCAGCCGTAAAGCTATCTAAGTTCATTACAAAATTCAATGAGAACCTTGAAATCCGCTATGTAGAGTAACTATGATTATGAGTTCATTTTATTCTCATGGACCATTCACAACCTAGGATGAGAGAAATAAAATTATCGTAGTTATAATACTGGTTGATCTTGTGTTATATCTTCAATGAACTGCTTGGGTGACAAGTTTTGAGCTCAATATGTGAAAGGAAGCAGGGGAAACATATATCACAGTAGCAGCAATGTTAGGTCATCTGCGTATGATTATTAAATTTGCGACATAAATGGATTTGAGCAATAACATTAAGCCATACGTTGCAATAAAACTTGTAGCTTGGTTTTGTGACTTTGTGTTATGTACATGGAGGACTTTTCAGCTTTTAGATATATAACCTTCTGTTCTGACAACATATAGTTTTATATTTGTTTGATCTGAAAGATAAAACTTATTCTCACTGTAGGTGGAGAACATCTTAGTCATTGGTCACAGCTGCTGCGGGGGAATTCGTGCTCTTATGGGTATGCAAGACGATGCAAATGGAAGGTTGAACTTAGATAAATATAAATATTGTTTTCCTTTCTGTGATAAACAAAATTACGTTTCATTTTCTTACTTGGTTATTTTTATTCCTTAGCCTCTTAGAAAGCTGGGTTGTTGCTGGAAAAAATGCTAGAATAAAAACTGAGACTGCTGCTTCTGGCCTTGACTTTGATCAGCGGTGCAGGCATTGTGAGAAGGTACATTTCATGTGCTTTAGGTGAATCACCTAATTTATAATTTCTAATATTTTTATCTGCTAATGTATTCATAATGTCTAATATCTTCATTCCCTGATGAATGATATATCTTAATAGTTAGTTGATGATAGATCTTAATGACGTTGTACAATTAACGAACCTCACATAGTAGTGAGATTAATCTTATTATTGTTGTCATATATTTATTTGCTCTTGCATGTTGAGGTGAATGACTTAATTTATTTTGTCTAATTGTTTTATCTGCTAATGTATTACTTTGTTTTTCGTAATTATACATCACAGTTTTCTGTTTTCCATCAACTTCTTGAGTGATATAGAATGAGCCTTTGCAAAATGTTAATTCTTAAAGAAAACGGATGGAGCCTGAAGGATTCAAGTGGATTTTATGCAGGAATCACTCAACCATTCCTTATTGAACCTACTTACTTATCCATGGATAGAAGAAAGGGTGTCCAATGGAGAACTGCTCATTCATGGCGGTTATTATGATTTTGTTGAATGCTCATTTGAGAAATGGACTGTGGATTACATGAAAATGAAAACAGAAGGAACTGATGTGTTAGTAGTGAAAGACAGAGTGGTTTGGTGCTAAACTTTTGCTTTTGTTTTCCTTAGTAGTGGATTTTATTGCTCTGTTAAAATAAATACTTCCAAGTGAGGTAATTGTATAATCTATACATTTACTTATTATTATGTTGGGTTGAGTAGAGAGCATGAATAACCCTTAAATAAATTTGTCAGTATTAATATTATAGAAAGAAAAGAATTATGCAAATTGCCTTTGTTTAGGTTCCACATTGCTCAAATATGACTGGAAGTATAATATCAGTTTTTTATTAAAAAAATCATAACAAGCAGCCTGAAATACACACACATATCATTTGTATTATATTTAACTTAAATTTTTTCCTTATTTAAGTGATGTAATTTTGATATTACAAATGATTATTCTTACAATATTCAATGTATGGAGCTTGACATTTAATAATGTATACGTGTGTTGTAAAACATCAATTTATATTGGTCAAACATGTAAGTAGTTCACACCTTAAAGCAGTACATCAATTTTTTATTGTTGATTGTCATTTAACTATTTTAGAATTCTCAAAATTTCATTGTAATCTTATAACCTAATTCATTCATGCGGATGGGGTTGTGTAAATGTTAAAAATTTTATAACATGAACTTGAATAATAATATATACAAAATGTTCATATGATTATTTTCGTGGTACTTAAATAATAAATATCCAAACCTATGTTTTTCAGAAAACAAATGACTTTAAAAGCATATTATCCCTGCAAAATCCGTTTGGTCAAATGAAAAATTTATCCATGAAGACTAGTCTCTGTTTTGAGAACAGCTTGATATATGCAAGTTTAAATATTCTTCATCACCGAAATTAGTTGGTGGGCGAAATTTCCTTGTCTTTTCTCATCAAAACTGTTTTTCCCCCCTGCAAAATATATAGTGAGATATGTTAGCTAATTCACTTACAAACTTATTTTCTCCAACATTACAAGTCCTTTGACAAATTTTTTGCTTAATGAATTTTGAAACTTTTGAACAGAATTACTAACAAGCTAATTAAGTATTTTGAAGTGATATGTGTTCTGTCATTATCCTCTATCTTACTTAGTTGTTGTTAGTTTATGTATTTTGTTTATTATATAAGTAAAAGTAAGACTCCAAACTCCAATTTTATTGCGCCACATGTATATCTCCTGTAATTACAAGCGGGCAGTGGCTCTTTGTTTTCTGGGACACAATTACATGTGGATCTTTTCGTGAAAATTATGAGGAAATTTTCAATATATATATATTTAATTGATTTATTATAAATATTTGATCTTATTGGAATACTCAAGTCGTATTATTTAAGAAACTTATATATGAGATTTAAATAAATAAAAATAAAGAAATTATAAAATATTCTTTTCATTGTAACTTCTCTTCAAGTTGTATGATAAAAATATGAATGCATAATCTTTTGCCTTGAATATTACAGGCAAAATTGGTTGTATTTTTTTTTTTTTTAAAAAAGCCTATATATATAAGTAAAAGTAAGACTCCAATTTTATTCCGCCACATGAATCTCTCGTAACTACAAGTGGCTCTTTGTTTTTTTTTTTAAATTGAATTACATGTGGCTTTTTAAGTAAAAATTATGATCATAAGGAGAGCATGTTATATAAAATGAGGAAAATTTTCAATATATATTTTGATACTATAAATATTTGGCTTACAATAATCAATGTAGGCAACATGAGATTCAATAATCTAATTATCTATAAATTCACTTAAAATAATGTTACAACACATTCATTCACATTTAAATTCTGCTTCTTGTGCTTTACACTGGCAACATCTCGTGTCATTCTGTTCCTAGCTTACAACACTGTAAAAATCACATATAAAAACATTATTAATTCAAATAACAATATATAGATAAAAATATAACATGGTGTTTGTGCGTAATAATTTTACAACATGAATTCGAATAATAATATATAAAATTAAAAAATCTGTAGATGATTTTTTGATAATTTTTTAAATAATAAATATTAAAACATGCAGTAGGGGAAAATGATTTTATAAATATACAAACCTAAAAAATTTGTCAGCCCAGGAAAAAAAATCATCAGACTTGGGGTCTTTTTCCACAAAAAGTTCTACGTTATCCAATGTATTCGATATTGATAAATTAAAATATTTATCATCACTCAAATTTGTTGGAGAGGAATTTCCTTCTTTCTGCCCTTCCGGATCATCGTCAGAACTACATCGCAAGAAAATTTTTTCATGAACAATTTAAATCAATACTCAAACTTTATTATCTAAGGAAACTTATAAGTGAGACTTGAATAAATAAAAAGATATGATTTTTCCATAAATCGTATTTGATTTTTTTTCATTATTTTCATCAAGTTCCATCATAAAAATACGATAAGTGCATGTGCCTGAATATTACATGTAGAAATGATTGTTTTGAGAAAAACCTATGTAAATATATATATATATATATATATATATAAGCAAAAACAATTATGGAAATATAATCAAAAAGAAGGAGAGAGCACACAGAAATCTTGGATATGAGTAATTTTTTAAAATTATGTATAAAAGAGTGTGTGAGAATCTTGAAACTTCTACAATTAAATCCAACAATTTAGTTAATTTAACTATATTATACTTCTATAACAAAATAATTATCCTTATTATTCTTCATACCTTAAGTTTGCCTCTAACCACGAAGAGAAGTCATCTATGGACGTGTTTGTCTCTTCTTCCATGCTCTTGGCCGGTGGAATTCTCTGATTATCTTTCTTTCCCGTAGAAATTGGTCTTTGAATATTTTCTTTTGGCTCTGTTCTTACTTCTTGTTTGTTTGATTATGATCCTTTTGCTCTTCGTGATATTTTTGTTGGTTTTCTTCAGACTCTTTTCTTCTCTTTTGTAATTTAATATTTCTATAATTTTGTCTTATCCTGCAGACAACATAATCTTTCATCTGTAAATTACAAAAAAAAAGAATGTTATTAGTTAGTATAAACTCCAATAGAAACAGAAATATAAAATTGAAGTATGGCATGATAAATAAAAAGGAGGCAAGTACACTATAAAACTTTGTCTCACGTTAAAATTAAGGCATCAAAACAGAATTTTAATTTGTGTAAAGTTAAAAGATTAAAAATATAGCTTTGCTGATCAGTGAATAATATTTAAGAGAATGAAACTTTGAATGAGAAAAGACTCACATGGAGGTAATTAGAAGGAAATAGCGATGGATGAAGAGAATATTCGTGCATGATCCATTTTCCATCTTGATGAGTTCCACTTTTCTCAAACCGAAACCTCTTCATGAATCCAATAACCACACTTTGATTCATATTATTAGAATTGTTGATTATGATCTCTTTGGCAATAGCTTCTCCTTCCCAAGACCCTAATCCTACCTTCCTCTCTACGTTCTTAGCTCCAGCATTCTTTCTCTTCAATTTTGTGAATACGTACAGATCTTCATAGTGAACTGATTTAACCACATATTCACTGAAACATTCCCAGATTTCCCAGGGATTCTCATTTCCATAAAGATCACACTCTGCGATTAAGCCTTCGAAAGGTAATTGTTGTTGGATGACTTTATTGTAAAGATAATCTCTGATGAGTTCATGATCTTCTGGACAGAATCTCCACCCAGTTGGCATCTTATATGATGAAATCATTTTCTTATTCTCTGATATAGTTATTTGATTACTTGTTGATGTATGGCAAACAATCTGGCTCAATATATAAAAAGAAGATTAGGTTTTTTTTATTTTATAAAAGGTAAATTTTATTAAACCTGATAAAAAGATACATACACTAATTAATAACTGAGCTTTACTTAAGATAAAACAAGATAGAACGTAAGAGCCCAAAAAATAAAACGGACATGAAGAAAAACAACTGTAGAAGGAACCTAAGCCAAGCAATACAGTATATTTAAGACTAAGAAATTGTACAATTAAATTTTACAGTTTTGTAAATCCTCTCAAATTTATTGGTTTTAAATTGTTTTAGATTTTGTTAAATTTTTGTAAGGTGTTACTTTATTTTATCCAAAAGCGTACTAGTAGATAATAAACACCAAGTTATTAAGAAAGTATTGGTAAACAAATAACATTTGTCACCATATATGTTTATCAAAAAAAAAAAAATGATATGATACCTTATAACCAAGTACAAATCACTTTGATCATGCCTAATAAAGAAAATAATATCATATTGTAACTTCTAGATGAAAATTGATGATAAAAAAAAAATTCTAGATGAAAATCCTAAAATCCTTTATTAGTTTTCAAAATCCAGGGGAAGAAATCCATACCTTGTACGGAAAATCAAAGCAGAGAATAGATTTGCGTGTTAAAATCTTATATTTATTATGCATGATCAAATATCTGATAAAAACTATTAATTTGATACGCGTCATTTTAGCAAGTATTAAACAAAAGGGAAGAAAAAATAATATTTGAGGACCTTCTATGGCTTCTAATTATTTTTAAGGATCATGAATTCTAAGAATATAATTCTTTAAAGACGATCAAGTTTCTGGGTTGCAATAAAAATTTTCCACATATTTTCAACTAAACACAATTTCTTCTCTAAGCATAATATTGCGCATGACTTGCGGCTTGCGAGTACACACACGAAATCAACTAAGAAAATAATATAAAGATGGCGATTATACCTTTATTGTTTTCCTTTTAGCAAATTCTGACTTTATTCTCTATATTGTTCTAAGACTCTCTTTTTCTCTTGTCGCACTCCCTTGACCTTTATTTATAGAAATTCTGTTTTCTTGATATGATATTTATGGAGATCCTAAACTTAGGGTTTGTTAATATAAGATATTAATTAGAAAATCTCGCCAATAATGATATCAATTAAAATCTTGATAGATTATAACATTTGGATGTACAGAGATAATATAAATCTATAAGTATCAGCCTCTCTTTTTAATTAATTGAGGACTGAGAGATAATCCCCGACGATATTGACTTTTCTATTGATTTTAAAAAAATAATAAAATATATATTGTATTTAAGTCTCCAATTTGTTAAGGACCAAAAACTAATCCACCAATCTTGTGTGTGTGGCTGTGCGTGTTAAAATCTTCAAGCACCCTATCATTTGAATCATAGATATATCGACTTAACAATTTGATAAATTGATTTATGTTTGAATTAATTTGGAAGATACAGTTTTATATTATCCTAAGAATACTAATAGATAATATATATATATATATATATATATATATAAACTCCATCCTTAGTAAAATATTAGTAACCAAAATATACTTTTTCTGCACATATCAACTCACTATAAATACAAATATTTTGTTGTCTTCTTAATTTATATGGTCCCAATGAATGCTTTAATTTATATTTATAATTCAAAAATGTATAAATTTTATAGAGGCAAAAGAAAATACCATTGAATGAAAGTATTTTTTTTGGCATTGTTATTCATCTTATAAAGAATACAAAATACTTTGCATCGAATAAATGTATTTAGAATTTACACTACATATTATATTCTAGAGTGATTCCTTCCTAAATTATGTTCTTGGTGAGTCCTGAAGTATCATTTTGCCAAAAATTAAGGTATTTAGTTATCATTAAATTACTTACAAAACCTTCAAGTGTCATTCTCCCATAAAGAACAACTAAGCAATATATCCTGTTCTCGTTAGTAATTTTTTGTAAAATTTTAGATTTGATCTATTTTTTTAAGTATGGAATATTAGTTTAATTTGAAGGTAAAGAGCCAACCACCTCATTAATTAGTCAAAAAGCTTGAGTTCCCAAATTCAGAAGCTGGTGAGCTATATCAAAACTCTCTCAAAGTCTCAAAATGTCGTGTTGTGGTTCTCCAAACTCAAGTACACTTCTCCCAAGAACGAACTAAATATAAGAATTACATGACCAATTTATAAATATTTAAAAAAATTAGTTAGGTGTTTTTTTAAAAAATGTGTTGCTTTTTTAAAAATTACTAACGTGGCACGTGTTTGGTATCATGTGGGACGCGTATTGGCTATATGGACGGACTTTCTAGCCACGTCGGACTCCATCACATCCCCATTTACCAATTACCCCATCGGTCCCACCGCAAGTCTTGGTTAACTAACAAAGATGTCAAAGTCTGTTTATGTTTATGGTTGTCCAAACCGCTCAGATCCATCACCTACCTCTATCTATATAAAGACCAAGAAGCTCCATATCGTATCTCATCAAAGCTCAGATTAAGCACATACACCTTGTATTCTCTTCTTCTTCTTCTTCTTCATCTTCATCTTCTTCTCATAACTCAGCCATGGCTTCTTCTTCTGGGAAATCCTTCATCACAGCTTTGCTTGTGGCTCTCACATTCTCAAGCATGATGAGTTCAAGTTTAGCAGCTCGTCGTCTTCTTCAAACGACCCAGCCTGCGATACCAAACATGCCTGGAATTCCAAGTAACTTGCCTAAACCTACAGGATTACCACCTTTGCCTTCAATCCCAAGCAATATTCCTCCATTGCCTACAAATCTCCCAAATATGCCAAAACCCAATGCACTTCCTCCTCTTCCTTCTATGCCTCAGATCCCAACACTCCCACAGGCCACACTTCCTCCACTGCCTAACATTCCTTCTATTCCCAAAATTCCTACCACTCTGCCATCCATCCCTTTCCTTTCTCCTCCTCCTTCCAATTAATATCACAAAACATGGTTCACTAGCTTGTTCCTCATCTTGGTGTTATCATAGTTGCTTCATCTATCATTGTATCTGGTGGTGCTCGGCAGCATGCCGGCATATATACGTATAATTCATTATTTTTATAGGTTTGAATTGCTTTATCTTACTATGTCTGTGTTTCTTCTCTTTCCGATCGATGTGATGACATTTAGAACAGTGTATTATTTTTTCTTTTATTGATTGTAATCTTTGTTTTCACACTTACTATTATACAATAATGCAGTGAATGCAATGTTCAGCTTCTATCTCATCCGAAACTTCTAAAACCCTTATATTAGAGCACTGTATATACATATATATACATGCATAAAATTAGACAGTGAAAAGAGAGAGAATTGCTTATTTAAGTGACGGAATGAGGGTCGTCAAAAGCGAGTTCTGTTATGGGTCGAAATATTGCACTGGGAATACTCTATTAATGATAATAAAAGTTTGGCGCTTACATTCACATACCACATAGCACCTTTAACAAAAATGGCAGCAAAGAAATAGCCACCGAGGAGAGAGGAAATCTGTTTAGAAAGAGAGAGATCACAGAATCATATCTGAAAGGGCCAAATATTAAGTATAACTTTAAAATTACTAATTAATTGTCCTCTATCCTTGTCATTCACCTCCCTTCTCGTATTCTCACATTTCCATCCCCTGTTTCTGAGTCCTTCCATTATCCAGAAAGCCTCAGACACTCTTGATGCATGATGGAGCCTGTGGATGATCAGAACAGCTACTACAGAACCATTAATACCTGAAGTGCGATTTTTAACCTCATGTAAAATGCTTAATACTTTCTTCAACCCACCCGCTTTGCAGAGTCTCCATATAAACATCCCCAAACTGAACGTACTTTAAAAGAGACGCCTTACCAACGGGGCTGGGTCTGCCGTGCCGATGTAACAAATGACAAATCAAAGTTCAAATGGAAAAAGTGTCTACATTTAATATGCCCAATATGCCAATAGGGCACTAATAGAAGGATAACTGTGCTTAATTAGGGGGAAGAGAGAGAGAGAGAGAGAGAGAGAGAGAGAGAGACGCTTTCTGAGTCATTTCCTCAAACATTTTCTCTGCACTATCCAATTAGTATCCATCAGATGCCAGAGCAGCTGTCAAAGCGAGTTAGACATCTAGCTTCCTGTATCCGCAATAAGATATGGTACTTGCCCAGATGGGTAAACAGAAAATTTCAGGACTTTAATCTGCATCAAGGAGAACCAATGGCACTCACAGTGTCAAGCTTGATGAGTAGTAGCCTCGCAGCTCGTCATCTTCTTCAATTTCTATTGCAATTTTACGAACTCAATAACCTTGGAAGTTGCAAGTTTGTCTATCAAATCTAACATTTAATTTCCCTAATCTAACTCTGCTATTGCCAACTTTGGTTTCCTCCATTTACTTCTTCTATGTGATTGCAAGAGCTCAGACCACTAGAAGATGAAATTGACGGTGACATTGAAGGGATCTACAAGTCTAACAACACTAAATTCAATGTCAAATTAAAAACGTGCAAGTTTGTCGATCAAGGACTTACTTTATGATCCTCAAGGACAAAGAACATGATTTCTATTGCAATTTACGAACCCAATAACCTTGGAAGCTCCTGATTTTTGTTCTCTCATGATTTATTTGTTTTTTTATGACCAACATCAATGAGCCTATCCAGCACGTCATGCTTTTTAGACATTCTTTGAAAATGTCTCTGTAAATCTCTATGATCAAGAGAATAACAAGAATACGCGAACAAAAGACATATGTGATTTACAATACATGCAACATAGTTTTATGACACTTCCATTGCAATATATGCTCGACTTGCATGTGGCTTTTAGTATTCTTGTGGGTTCTTTATGATATTTCATTTGATCCCGATCCTTATCATAGGTACCTACTAACAATTTTACATAAATTAATAAAAATAGCTAAAATTAATTAATATTTATAAAATATCAAAATTACCCTTAACTTTACATAAGATACAAAGACTAGTCACACCTTTATTTGACATGACTTCATGAGTTTTCAGTAGGCGTAAAATGGGCAATGTTGTGCCTACTATATGGTTCTTCGTATGCTCGTAGACTCCTTCTTCCGTCTTGTCTTTCTTTTCTTCAGTTGTTTGCTTCTTTGATTGCATTGTTGTAGGTTGAAATTCAACTTAGGTTTTCTCTGTGTTAGTCCTCGTGCTTTTGGGATTCTCTCCCAGTTGCTGTATCTTCATAAGGTGGTTTATGTTATTCACTTCTTATGTTGTATAGCATTTAATTATTCTGAGAAATGCTTGTAAGATATGACTGGAACTACAAACAAAATAAATTATAATTCTCATAAAATATATAACAATAATTTATTTATTTTTTTGAAAATTTGAAAATCATTTTATTTTAAGCTTAAACAAATTGTCCATATCTCAGTCTCATAAAAACTTGTTCTCTTTCTAATATTTAATATAAGAGTTATTTAAATAATTTGAGTAAATAAAAAAAATCAAATAAATTAGTCAAATCTAATAAACGTGACATTATCTATTTAAAATAACCGTATATAAATATTAGCTTACATATTAGTCGTGAGAGATAAAGTAAATTAAGGACCAAATTATATTCTTCACCTTCTCTTATATTAAGTATTAGAAGAAGTACTTGATAAAAAGTTTCGGCGATTAAGTACATGTAGCTCACATGCCATTGTTAATTTACATTTTTTATTAGTTGTTAGCGGTTGGTTCCTATCACCTTACTTGTCAACTTGTACTACATTCGGTCCTAATTATAAAAACTAGTTGACTAATTTGAGGAGATTAAGGAGATAAGTTAAGTTAGTTATTTGTAATAAATAGGTGTTGTCTTTCCTAAAATATCTTTATTAATTAAGTGTGTGGGCTAGAATTATCATTGTTAGAAAGACTACCTTAGAAAAAAAAATATAAATATGAAAGACAAAATGGATTGGGATCTTATATTTAGGAGAGAAATAAAAATCAAACAAGATCTTATATTAAGAACCGGAGGTAGTAGTTGTTTCTTCTAAATATTTCAACCCCATTGATTATTACTTCTTTTTTTCTTGGGCCAACCCCGTTAATTATTACTTCACAAAGCAGTTATGCAACATTTTTTATTTAATTGCAGTTGGAGGACGTAACTATAAATGAAAAATCACGTTTAAAAAAAAAGAACATAAAACAAAATCTCCGATAATGGATTTTCTTTTTTTTGGGTCTCTAATTTGATCGATGGTTTTTTTCATACATGATAGATGGATTGCCAATCAATGTTAATTTTTTAATTAATATTAATGTTTGTGTTGATTGTTATTCTGGACCATGAAGGCCCAAAATTCCTTTTTGGGTACTATAAGGCCCAAATCCTTCTGTTTTAGCTTGGGGCGGTCGAGCCCATATTAGGGTCCGATGACACGCAAAGCGTAACTACAAAGCCCATACGTGCTAAGGCCTTAGGTTTTCTCTCTTGTAGCTCAAGCTCGCGCTCGAAGTAGTCGACGCTCTTACAGAGAGTTCGTTGCGGCTGGAGCAAGGGGAACAACATGAAGGTTCATATTCATGCCAATTCTTTATCCTCAGCGATTTGATCTCCTGGTTTGTTTATAGTTTTATTTTCTGTTTGTTTGTGTCTGAGTCTCCTGCGATTCTGCAGTTCAACATTGCAAATCCCACCACTGGATGCCAGAAGAAGCTGGAGATCGATGACGATCAGAAGCTGTAAGATTTTTGCTTCTCTAATATATGTGTTCCAATTTTCATCTAAGTTTTCACTGCGGGTGTACAGGAATAGTTGTTTCGTTAGTTGAACAGTTCAACATTCCCCTGACAATTCATATTTATTACAAGGAATCTAAAGTCTGGTGCTTTTTATATTATTCCAACGATTATTTGGCCATACCGTTGGTCTTTAGATTTCTGAAAAACATGAACGTCATCGAGAACTCTGTAACTGCATTTACTGTTACTGGCGTGACAAAGTATCATGATTGTATCTAGTACTTGTTAAGGATTTTTTTTTTCCCCGTCCAAAGTCTAAGTCACTTTAGTTGCTGTGAATTATTCCATTGGGTGTTAATATGTGATTGAGCTATCTTCTCGAGGCTTTTTCTTATTGTTATTATGTTATACATCTTGTGCAGACGAGCTTTTTGGGACAAGCGGATCTCACAGGAGGTTAGCGGTGATGCTCTGGGAGAGGTATGCCCATAGTCATCATTTTTGTCTATTTCAATTTGAAGGAACGTACAAATTTATATATATTCAATGTATTTTTTACGCCTTTCAATCTACAGGAATTCAAAGGCTATGTCTTCAAGATCACTGGTGGTTGTGACAAACAAGGTTTCCCAATGAAGCAAGGAGTGCTGACCCCTGGTCGTGTTCGTCTCTTGCTCCACAGAGGTAGGTTTATTTTAAATCCCGATAGGCTTGTTTTCAAGTGCTAGACTCCTATTAATGTGCTGTAGATTTTGGGTAGGCTGTTATTGGTATACATTTTGTTTAGTTGGCCTGAAAGTTCTGTGAATGTTTTCATTTGTTTTCCTACGTTTGCTTTCAGAATTAAAATGAAAATTTTATTCTTATACTGTATTTTTCTGTTCATTAAATCATGGCTTTCATTTATTATCCTTTTTGTTTTGGGGACCTGTGGTGGCCAGCCAAGCTAGTTTCCTCATTTAGAGCCTTTGTTCATTTTACTATTGTTGTGCTAACTTTTGTGCATTGGTAATCTGCGCAGGAACTCCTTGCTTCCGAGGATATGGAAGGCGCAATGGAGAACGCAGGAGAAAGTCTGTGCGGGGGTGCATTGTGAGCCCAGACCTCTCTGTTCTGAACTTGGTAATTGTGAAGAAGGGTGAAAATGATTTGCCTGGACTCACTGATATTGAGAAGCCAAGGATGAGAGGTCCCAAGAGAGCGTCCAAAATCCGCAAGCTGTTTAACCTCTCCAAGGAGGATGATGTGAGGAAGTATGTCAACACCTATCGTCGGACCTTTACAACAAAATCTGGTAAAGTCTTGGGTGCCTCCTCCTTCTTTGTTTACTTTTGTCAATTTCAAAAGAATAAAAGGGGGGAGGTGGTCAAATGTATTTGAGGATGGTATCTCACTTTGCCTTCAATAGCATAGCTAGTTTCTAATTCTGGTATTTTCTATAGTGATTAGTTAACCTCCATCTTTATAGATGGAGATAATTTAAGAGGTGGTGAAGTTAAACTCAAGGTGAATAATATTCTGAGCATTAGACTCTT